CGGCGACGACGACAACGACGACGACGACGACGACGGCCGCGCCAGCGGCGGCGACGTCGGCGGCCGCCCGCGCCCTGCGAGGCTGGCGACGCCGGAGCCGTCCACGGCAGGGCGTTCGTCTTCGCTGGCCTGGGGTCGCTGTGCAGTCCGCCAGCGGGCGGCCTGCGCGCCGGCCTCGCGGGCGGCCTGCGCGCGGGCCTCGGGCCGCCCCGCGGGCGGCGGCCCTTCGGAGGGCCCTCCGGCGGCCCGTCCGGCGGGCTCTGCGGCGGCGTCGTCGCCGTCGCCGTCGCCCTCCGGCGGACTCTGCGTCGTCGTCGTCCTTCGAGGACCATCCCCCTGTCCGCTGCTCTGCACGGGGCGGGGGGGGCAGGAAGGCCGCCACCGCCCCGCCGCGTCCAGCCGCCTGCAGGCCGCGAGCACCCGAGGCCACTCTCTCGAGCCCTCGATCCTCGAGGTCTCCGATTCCCATCGGTCCCCCATCGATCCCAGAACCCCCTCTCCTCGATCCCAGACCCGTCGGTCCCCCATCGATCCCTCATCGGTCCCCCATCGATCCCCCATCGGTCCCCCATCGATCCCAGATTCCCCCTCCTCGATCCCAGACCACCTCTCGGACCCTGCAAAAATCACGACGGGCGGTGTTTCGCTGCTCTCGGCCTCAATGGGGGCCCTCACCTGGCCTCGGAACTTTCCGAAACAGCTCAGGATGAGAAACCGGTCTCGGGGAAAGGTGCGGGACACCTGGGGGTTGGACGTCGGGGGTCTGGGATCGCAGCCAGCCCGCCGTCGAGCGAGCCCAGCCCGCCGTCGAGAGCGGCCGAGGCGCCGGCGCGCGCGCCTCCGTGGGCGTCGGGGTGGCGGTGCCGATGCCGGGGATGGGCAGCCTGGAGGCGATCGGCTGCGCGCAAGAGCGACCGTTCGCAGGAGTGACCTGTGGTGCTGGTCCCACGGGCACGTGCTTGCGTGCTTGGAGTTGGGCCCTCCGTGGCCCCTCCAGCCGCGCACGACAGGCCACTCTTGCCTGGGGTCACTCTCGCGGGCAGCCTGGAGGCGACGCTGGCGCAGCCCGTCTGGGCTCAGCAGCACGACGTCCAGCAGAGGCCCGCCGACGGGAAGCCGGGATCCGAGAAGGGAAACAGGTGCATAAGCATGAACAGTCAGAGCTCCGCGCGAACTTCTTGGATCGGCGTTTGGCAACCTTGGCGCCGCTCCTGGCGCGCTCCGCGCGCCAGGGTGGTGGGTTCAACGCCGAAGCAAGAAATGCGCGCGGACCTGCGAAAGTTCATGGTTATGCAGATTTTTGTTCCTCCACGCTCCCCACCTCCTAGCGCTACAAAAAAAAAATAACCACGACGGGCGGTGTCTGACTGGTTTCGGCCTCGAGGCCCTCAGCTGGCCTCGGGACGCCAAAAAACGACTCAGGATGAAAAGCCGGGGGACGAGGCGCGCCAAACCCAAGCACACAAGCCGTTAATGTCACACCGCAAGCTCCGATCGGCAAGCCAGAGGACCAGAGCGCATCGAAGATGTATCAAGGATGTCGTCCCGTCCCAGGCCCCCTCCCCATTTGTCCAGAGAGGCCTGCCTTTTCTTCACTGCACGAAGCCCCCCACCCTTGAAAGACGAGAGCCCCTGTGAGCCCGCAGCTCGGACGGGGGCGGCGTTTTCAAAGAAGCCTCCCTCCAGTCCCTGGTCTTCAGGCTGGCAGAAGGAGGAGGAGGAGGAGGAGGAGGAGGAGGAGGAGGAGGAGGAGGAGGAGGAGGAGGAGGGAGGAGGAGAGGAGGGAGGAGGAGGAGGAGGAGGGAGGAGGAGGAAGGAGGAGGAGGAGGGAGGAGGAGGAGGAGGATGAGGAGGAGGAGGAGGAGGAGGAGAGTGCGGCAAGGTGCAGCCCCCTCTGAAGAGGAGCCACCCTCCAGCCGTGCAGCTCGTTGCCGACAGGGCTTCCACGAGCGAGGCCGGGGAGGAGAGCCCCCTCGTGCACCCTGCCTCCCTCCTCCCTCCCATCCCTCCCCCTCCCTCCTGCCTCCTCCCTCCCTCCTCCCTCGCTCCTCCCTCCTCCTCCTCTCTTCCCCTCTTCTGCCTTCCTTGCTCCGGGGCCCTGGTCGGCATGCCGATGGCCGTGAGCCTTTCTGCCGGGCGGCTTGGCGCGCTTCCTCTTGAGAGGGGGCCGCCCTCCGCCCGTGCCTCGGCCCCACGGGCTCGACGCCTGCGGCCAGTGCGTGCCGAGGGCGCCTCGGGCGAGGGCCCCCCTCGTGCAGCTCTGCCGGGGCATCTCTGGGGCGAGCGCGCGCGGCGCCGAGGCGGGGGCGGTCAGCTGGAGAAGGTGCCGCCCTCCAGCCGCGCAGCCGCTGGAGCCCTATGTTGAAGGAAGGATTGCCAAAAAACCCAGGATTGCAAAAAAAAATCAGGATTGCAAAAAAAAAAAAAAACGGATTGCAAAAAAAACCCGGATTGCAAAAAAACCCGAAGGATTGCGAAAAAAATCCCAGGATTGCAAAAAAAACAGGATCGCAAACAAAAAACAGGGTTTTTTTGCAATCCTTCTCCATCGCGCAAGCCGCGGGGAGGTCTCGGGCGGACCGCCCAGCCCGCCCCGACAGCACGTCCGCCGATGCGACAGGGAGGGGGCCATCTCTGAGTCGGGCCTGTGCCTCGAGAGGGAGAATCCTCAAAAACAGTGACAGGATAGTCTGGGGACGATTTGTTTTGATTATTGCTGCGTATGGTTGAACATGTATGGGGCCTTTTCTTTTACTTGTCGTCCAAAATCCGCCTGTAGGGGGGCACGCCCGACCTAAGGCTATGTGTGGCGGTCCAAGGAGGGCCTCGTCTTCGAGGGATCGACAGGTTGCCTTCCCTTCCTCGGCGGAAGGCGGCGGAGGTAAAGCAGGGGCTGCTTCACTGGCGGACGCGGGCGGAAGCAAGACATGCATTTGTCAAGAGATGGCAGCATGGTTAGGTGCAGCGCTTGGAGAGCGGACCACTTATATTTGGATCATGGGGGGAGGTTAAGAGGATAGGGACGCACATGTGGATGCGAGGGTGTGTACGGTAGGTTTGCGTCGTGTCGACCGGCGGCGACCCCAGCGCGGGCGTTCAAGGTTGAACGCCGGCGGCGGCCCAGAATCGGTCGATGTTGAACGATTGGACGTTGCGGAAATGGCCGATCGTTCAAGGTTGAACGATCCCTGCGGTGTCAAAAACCAACGCCGGGGTCGACACGACACGAACCTGCCGTAATCTAGCTGAGAAGTGGGTCACAGGTCGACTGAGTGGCTTGGCGTGGGTGGTGGGGCAACTCCGCTGAGTGGGAGCAGCCCAGTCAGGCAAGATCATCATCCCCTCTCGGCCAGTCAAGTCAGCCTCCACTGACCCGCTTGTAGGCTAGGTTGGGCCAGCTTTTTGTTCCACCTTAGCATCCACTCGTATCCCCCTTCTTCCCTTAGCACCCCCCGTCGGTGATCCAAGCCATTCGTTGGAGGTCGAACCCTTTGGTTTTCGGGTCTGAACTCGGATCTCCGGCGGCCGTTCGGTGCGCTTCGGGCACCCCTCGAACGCTCTCGGAGAAGCGCAGCTGCTGAAACGCATCTCGATGCAAAAAGACGCCAGGAACCAGCGAAATTTCCCAAAACATGTGGCAAGCACCCCCCGCGCCGATCCAAGCAAGAAGAAAGGTGGAGGAGTCCAGACCCCCGACAGCACGATTGTTTCACAGCATGGGCCCCCAGAGGTCTCGACCCTTTCCTGGTACCAGCTTTTCATCCTGAGTCGTTCTTTGACGGCCCCAGAACCGAAAATAACACACATCGCCCCGGCAAGGCACCCACATAGCAGCAAGTGTTGCAGCCGGGACAGGGGTGAGAGCACTGCCAGCTGCAGTTTTGTGTATTTTGTACCAGGTATCGTGGCCGCCTGGACCAAACTGCACCCGGCATGGAGGCGAAATCACTGTTCCTGAATATGTTGTGAGGAAGTCTCAAGCGCAACAGTTTCTGGACCATGCTGTCTAAGGCTCCCCCTCCCCCCTGTGGGACTTTCCTGTGGTCCCTTGCCACAATTGAGCGAAACGCTACTAGCAGTGGGACTTCTGCAGTCCGTCACCTCGATTAGAACCCCCGAGCAAAACGCTGCTGGAGAAGAACATGTGTTCTACGACGCGAGGGGGCCTGGGAGCCCACGAAAGTGGCGACAGCTCAGCTGCGCAGTTCGCAGCCACCCACACAGCAGCGCAGGAGGAGGAGGCAGACTGCAGGAGGAGGGAAGCAGGGAGGAGAAAAGGAAGAGGGAGGAGAAAAAGAGGAGGGAGGAGGAGGAGGAGGAGGAGGAGGAGGAGGAGGAGGAGGAGAAGGAGGAGGAGGAGGAGGAGGAGGAGGCAGTGGAGACCACGGGGCGCGCGGCCACAGCTGCCAGGTGGCAGCTGGGGCTGCGCGTGGACGTCGGCGGCTGAACTGCGCGCCCCGCCCCCGCTCAGGGGGCGCGGCGGTCCGGCAGGGGCGCTGCGCCGGCGCAGTCGCAGCGCGCCTGCGAAACACTGGGGCCAGCGCGCGGGGCCGACCCCTCAGAGGAGGAAAAGGTACCTATACCCGCAGAAGAAGAAACGCCGTAAGCATCAACTTCTGGCGCTCCGCGCGGATTGCTCGGATCCGCGCTGGGCCCCCTGGCGGCGCCTCCAGCGCCGCCCCTGGCGCGCTCAGCGCGCCAGGGAGGGGGGGTCCAGCGCAGATCCAAGAAATCCGCGCGGAGCGCCAAAAGTTTATGTTTATGGCTTATGGCGTTTTCTCGTTAACCTATACTGGTACCCTTCCCTCGTTTTCCCCTTTTTGGGCCTCCTGGGAGGCCATCGTCGCCACCGCTGGATTCGCCTCGATGTCCTGGTCAGAACGCACCCCTGGAGAGGTCTGGGGAGCAGCGGTATCGGTACCTGTGGGTTCCCCCATCCCCATTTGGAGGGGTGGGCTGGTGCTTGCATGACCGCGGGGGGTGCTCAGGGAATAGGGGGTTAAAAAGTGGATGCCAAGGTGGCTGACACATGGCCTAGCACAGCTTCTGAGTGGGTTAGAGTTGCCCTGTGGGGCCGACGTGGGGAAAGATCCAGGCTAGGTGGTCTCCGCCCCCTTCGCGGAGTCACCGAACCCACCCAAGTTTGGAACCTTCATAGCCAACTTATAAGCCAGGTTAGGCCAGATTTCATCCACCTTAGCATCTGCTCACAATCCATCTATACACTTAGCAACCCCCGCGGTGATCCTAGTGAGGCTGAGATACCATGGCCCAGTGGGAATGCGGATCGGTCTACCCTCTGGCTGGGGGAAGACGGACGCCAGTCACAGTATTCGACAGGCAGGCCGGAGCTGGATCGAGCCGCGGAATTGGATCGGATCGGAAACGGATCGGCAGGTCGCCATGAATGAAACCCATATCTCCGACGATGTGATGTGTCAATCCTTGCGTTTTTCCTTGATTTCGGCCCTGTGGCCCGCTATTGGGCCTCCGGACCATCATAAACGAATCCCGGACGAAAATTACCCTCGGGGAAGGGATCGGGACCTTCTCCTCCTCCTCCTCCTCCTCCTCCTCCTCCTCCTCCTCCTCCTCCTCCTCCTCCTCCTCCTTGGGTTCGCGAGTTCGAAAATTCAGATCGGCGGAAGTCTAGGCAGGTCGGGCTTTCCGAAGAAGGTGGCCCTGGCACATGGCGCCCCCAGCCTTCCGCGCCCTTCCGGGGCCCCTCAGGGGCAACCCCTGGGCCTCGTGAGGGCTTCCCTTGGAGAAGCCACCTCGGCCTCTACTTGGGCGGGCGGGGGGGCCACGATCGGGCCTCGGCCACTCCCAGCAGCAGCCGGCGAAGTGGCCCTGGAGGCAGCGCGCCCTGAGGATCTTCGCCGCTTTCTGGTTCTCGGGGCCCGCCGTGGGTCTGGAGAGAGAGAGAGAGAGAGAAGACGCCGTGCATGTCAGAGGTGCATGGCATGGGCAGGAAAACTGGCGCCGACGAGAGGCAGCCGAACGCCGTGAAACATTTCGAACACCCCATTGTCGCCATCTCCGTAGACAGGGCGTGCCTGAAGACGTGCACATGCACATCCCCCTCGCCACGAGGCCCCCCAAGGTGAACGACCCGGGCGAGCAACGGCAGCAGGAGGCAGAGGAAGGGACGACGCCTGGGGTCCAGGACGAGCCCGGAGCCAGGGGAGGGAGGAGAGCGAGCGACGGGGGACGACAGCCAGGAGTAGGGGAGGGGGGCGACCGACCGGGCGACAGAGTGGGCTCCAGAGCCAGGAGCAGAACCAGACTCGGGAGGAGGCACCGGCCCCCGGGGGGCCCGCCTCCCACGGGGCCCAGGACCCGCCTGCCTCCGGGATTTCTCCGTCAGGGCTCGAGCCAAGCGGTGATGATTGGCGCTTTCGTGGGCCGTTCTCGTATTTCGTTTACACAGGCAGACGGAAGGCAGAAGGAAGAAAAACGAAAACATAACGAAAGCGAGAAACACGGTTTGGGCCGGAGCGCAGCGTGGTGTAGTGCTCAGGAAGGGAAAGAACACACAGACACAAACAAGTGGCACGTGTGCCATGGCTCATGCACAATAAGGAAGGGGCGCGCTGGCTTGTGAGTGGGTGGGTGTGGGTGGGGGGGTGCTTCGAAAGGGGGGATGCGCTGGCTGGTGGGCGGGGGGGATGCGGAGGGCGCGCTGGGGCGCGCGGGGAGGGAGTGGGGGCCGTGCCGAAATAAAGGTGTCGCGGGGCGGAGGGGGCGCGCTGGCTGGTGGGCGGAGGGGGATGCGGAGGTGGTGTGCCTTGCCGAAATAAAGAAGTCGGGCAGAGACGTGGGCCGTGCCGAAATAAAGGTGTCGGGGCGGAGGGCGCGCTGGCTGATGGGTGGGGGGGGATGCGGAGGGGGTGTGCCGTGCCGGAATGGTGTCGGGGCGGAGGGGTGTGTCGTGCCGAAATAAAGAAGTCGGAGCGGAGGGGTGTCCCGTGCCGAAATAAACGGGTCGGGGCGGAGGGGGCGCGCTGGCTGGTGGGTGGGGGGATGCGGAGGCAGTGTGCCGTGCCGAAATAAAAGGGGTCGGGGCGGAGGGGTGTGCCGTGCCGAAATAAAGGGGTCGGGGCGGAGGGGCGCGCTGGCTGGTGGGTGGGGGGGATGTGGAGGCAGTGTGCCGTGCCGAAATAAAAGGGGTCGGGGCGGCGGGTGTGCCGTGCCGAAATACAGGGGTCGGGGCGGAGGGGCGCGCTGGCTGGTGGTTGGGGGGATGCGGAGGCAGTGTGCCGTGCCGAAACTGTCGGGGCGGAGGGGTGTGCCGTGCCGAAATAAAAAGGTCGGGGCGGAGGGGCGCGCTGGCTGGTGGAATGTGTGGGTGATGGAAGGGGTGCCGTGCCGAAATACAGTGGTCGGAGCTCTAGACGCCCTGTGCAAGAAAATAATCGTCGATTCCGAGGATAATATAGACGATATGGGAAGCGGAAAAGGGATAGCAAACGTCCATAAAACATGGAGGAGTTGGGGAATATTGGGGTATCTGTATTTTTTGGTGTGTACCTGGGCACCCTCAACTGCTTCCTTCGAAGACCGGCTCCCTCGCGCCCCCATGTTTGCGCACCGCCAGGCCACGCGTGCGAGGTGGGGGGGGAGCGCAGCGTGGTGTGATGTGATGTGCGCTATGGTATAAGTTCATGCAGCGTGGTGCGCTAACGCAGCGCAACATCTGGCGAGGTGCGCAGCGGGACAGTGTAGTTGTCGCGAACGAGGTCGACGACATGCTTGTGCGATGCAATGCCAGCGGGGAGTATGATGCATTGTGGCATTGTGGCGATGCGCAATGACGCAAAAGTATAGTCTGGTGTGGTGCGATGTGAGGAGGCGAGATGACATGTGGCACCCACCATCGCATTGCCATACAACGCGATGGCGTGTGATCCTACGCTTAAGTCGGGCTTGTCCCTTTACAGGAGGAAGTTTCAAAAAATATCTCACACACAGAAAAAAGTCAGGGGACGATTTGTTGACTATGTTTGATCATTTTCGAGTATGTGTTGACTATTTCTTCTTTTGCATCCAAAATCCGCCTGTAGAGGGACACGCCCAACCTAGTACCACGCATGTCCACGTGAAACACGCATTGCGACGCAATGCCTAGCAAATTAAGACATCAAAGTGCCGCGGAAGGCGGCCCCGCCTGGCGTGACCCATCGTGTTGACGTCCAGCGTAAAGGCTGCAGCGTTGTCCCGCACAGCGATCAGGAGGGGACTTGGGACGGCAGGGTGTTTTGCAGCATCGTTGACGCATCCTGGCCTTACCCGGGTCTTCCTTTCCTTTCCTCCTCCTTTGTTTGACGTTCGCCATACCATGAGCGAGTATTCCTCCTCCTCCTCCTCCTCCTCCTCCTCCTCCTCCTCCTTTTGCCTCTCCTGCTCCTGCTTTTCGTCCTCCCTCACCAGACGGAGGCTTCCGCTTCTGGAGGCCCTCACACGCCCGAAAAAGGGAGACAACACAGCGGCGCCGGTTCTGGCCCACCACGCCTCGGCGCGACACGCTGAGCTCGTCCCAGTCCCCATGCATCAGTGTTCCGGACTTTTCCCAGCCTCCCATCCCACGGTGGAGCGCGACACGCCGCCAGTTTGCAAGGCATAGCACGCCGCAGGAGCCGCCGCCGCCGCCACACACGCCGAATCCTCAATCGCGATCGCTCGCCACCCGCCCTGCCGCTTGCTGCTTCCTGCACCGGCCTGACCGCGGGCCCGGCGCCCAGGATGAGGATGCCCGTCGCCGCCCTCGCCAAGGCGCCGCCGGGGCGGGCCAGGGATCCGCGGACGGCTTGTGTACCCCGTGCCGCGTTGATGACTCATGAGGCGTCGTAGATCCTCGGCACAGGAATGGTACGGAGCAGAATTCCTCGGCCCTTAGAGCCGACGAACTATGCACCGCACCGCGTTCGAGCGGGGCCTGGCAGAAATCCAAACATGGCGCGGTGCACCGGCGCCGTTCTCGTGAGGGGAGCGGGGGGGGGCGAGTGGCAGGGGCAGCGAGTGTCGGAGGAGGGCCAGTCGAAGCGACGGGGCCCCTCCCAGGCGTTTCTCCGTCCTTTCCTGGGGGTGCTTCTCGCCGCCACGGCTGGATCCGCCGCAAAAAGCGGGTCAGGATGGACCCCAGGAGAGGTTTAGGGAGCCGAGGCAGGGCGGGAGGGCCGCCGTGGTCTCAATTGGCCTTCCTCCGTTCCAGGAAGGCTGCGCGCCGCTTCAACGAGGTGGAGGAGGAGGAGGAGGAGGAGGAGGAGGAGGAGGAGGAGGCGGAGGAGGAGGGAGGAGGAGGAGGAGGAGGAGGAGGAGGAGGAGGAGGGATCCGAAGAGCAAGAAATCATGAGAATGATGCATTCCCAGGTATCCAGGTGTTCTGGTTGTTCCGCGCGCGCTCCAAAGACGTTTGAAATTCTTGGAACGTAATTTGAGGTCGCGAGG